GACATTGATGCTCAGGCAGTTTTCTGCATAGTATTATACTGTATTTCATATTTGGAACCAACAAATCTGAGTGATTCCAAGGGAGCCCTCGGTTTGACTTTGACTCTCTAGACTATGTCTTCATCTTATTGATGCTCTTTTGTCCTTGGTCAACCTGGCCTTGGCTGTCCTAACATTGACTCCAGAAGACCACTATTGTGAGTCATCTCCATCATTGATGCTTTTGTTAATATCTTCTCTGGATGTGATGGTAGGAGACTAGACTTCACTTTCAACAGATGATGCGCGTCCTCACACCAAACAAGTCTTCAGAATGGTAAATTAAAGCTTTGACAACTCTCATCATTGTACTGTCCACCAGAGGTCTCATCTGGTGAATGTCTTCCATGTTGCTGGCTTTCTTTCATGTGATTGGGTAAAACCCTCACTTGTATCTCCCATATATCTTGGAGAACTTTTGTAAAGGGCAATCACAAGCCTACAGGTTTTTATTTCATTATGTTCTGTCTAGCACTAGCATTATGAAAGCATTCCAGGGCAAATCTGGACAGTAACTGCATATAACCCCAGCTGATCATGAGAGATGTCTTGATGCCATGGGCTGGAAGTGTCAGGATCAGGGACTGATTCACCTTGCAGAACAAGGAACACCCTTGCAGGTGCTTACAGGAAATAATTGTGTGGCTGGTATGACTGTAGCTCTATACTTAGCTCTTATTGGCTCTTACATGTCCTCCCTCCCCACTGTATTTGCTCTGTAATATCCATACTATCCTTTTGTTGCTAAATGACCTGATACTCCTGGCGAATGAAGTAAAACTGCATGTTCAGAATTTGCAGTTCACTGGGGCCTGCCTGAAATCTGCCTTGGGTTTTGTCTATTTTCTTCCCAACAGGGCAGATATGTTCCTTGTGCCTCAGATGCAGTCCCAGACTGTTGTTAGCCATGCCAAATCACACCATGTGCTTCCTTAGGAATGTAGTGTTAGTTTCTTGCAGTATTCAATCCAGAAAAGGACAATGATGGTCTTCTACTATGTGCTCTGATTGGGGTCCTCTAATTTTGCATTAGTTGTCATTCAAGTTTATCTTTTCAGCCCCACCCTTCCAGAACAGAGATTACAGATGCCTCCCTTCTGTGGAACACCCTGCTGATCTGTTTGTATTCATGCAAAATTGCCAGAGAGTGAGAAGCACATTGGTATCTTTGACCTGTTTGTAATTGTAAAGGCATTTAGAGTCTTCAAGACTGTTTTCCATAGATTTCATTATGGTGATCTTCTCTTGGAACAAGGAAGCACCCACTCTGAGAACATGCTTCTTTTCAAGTTGCAGCTATGGAATGATGCATAACTCATGACATCTCTAGTTCATCTGTCAAGAAATTGAAATACCATCATGAAAACTTTCAGTTAGGCACATAAATGGAGAGTTTCATCCCCTTTTTCTTTTAGAAAGTTCTATTGATCAATCTGTTATCCACCTAAGAGAACACAGTGTATTTATTTCTCAATCATGTGGAAATAACTCTTCATTAGGAAATGTCTTTAACAATGGACCGGTTCTCTGTTTTACAGTCCCTCTCCATTACCCTAGTCATGCCAAAGTTGGGGTGGGTTGGGCAAAACAATGCATTCTGATACACCTGATTAAAACTCCTGATACTTTGATGACCCCTGACAACCATGGTTTGTCATCCTCTTGTTTGTGATTCTGTGGGAGCTCCACAGACTCTCCAGCCTGGCAACCTTACCCTGGTATGCCACCATGTGACATCCAGAACTGAATGTGTGCATTGGAGTGTGTTGGAGGGTTCCTGCCAAAATTGTCCAGCTCTAGGTAAACCCACATGACCACTCAAAGAGCCACACGGTTACAGGTGAGTATTCTTTCCTTTTTATGAAACATTTTATATTAGACTCTAATGCCATCTATTTTCACCCCTGTATTTAGCTTTGGAAAAAGATACACTGGATACTTACAAATGAGGTTGAATTCCTTCTGAGCCCAGTTAAGCGAGCCAACAAGGTCCTTGGCTCAGGGTCACTGTATTGCACAGGAAAGATTAAGAAGTTCACAAGCAATGGCACCTTTCGTTCGACTCTTTAGATGTTGTCACTACATCATGAAGAAAAATTTGGGTGCCATTTGGAAAGAGGCGAGCCACTTTTCTCTCTCTCTCTGTATTGGTATAGCTATGTGGAAATTTACATGTTGCAGCTTGCTTTTAACCCAGAAACTACAAATCTCAAACTCTGCCATGCTGAATGGCACCCCAGATCCACTGTTTGAACTCTTGCCTTTACTTTGCCTTACTGATGTAGGGTACTGTTTGAATGACTGCCTGTTCTCATATCAAACTCCCTGAACTCTAAAGATGATATTCTGAAACCTCTCCCTGGGTGTCACTGTCTTCTGAGGCAAGGGTACTGGTGACTAGGGGTAGAACCTTTCAGGTGATAATACACTACCTGTGAAATGTTTTCCTCAAAGAGGAATACCTGGCACTGAGGTCTTTATCATTTTGTTATCCTTTTTATTTTATCTAAGCCTGTTAATTTTAATCTAGATATATTGATTATTATTGCTATTTTCTCATTTGCTTTTCTTCATTCCTGTTTTGTTGAGGTTTTGGCTCTAATTTGAGCTGTAGGGTATGATAGTATATTTTATAACTGAGCAAGAGAAAGCTGGGAAGATCTAGGTCTGTTCAAGTTGTCTGGATGGGCAGCCATGTGAAAACTCCGTATTTGTCACCTTAAGCTGCACAGAAAAAAGCAAAAAATGTAATAAATAGGGTTAATGGTTGTATCTTTGTTCCGTCCCAATCAGCATGCAGCCACCTCCACTCTGCTCCTGTCTGCACCCTTCAGTCATACTAACTGCCCAATGTAGCAGCTGATTCCCATCAGTGTTGTCTTTCATAAGCTAACCTCTCCTCTCAGTTTAAACTGTTTAGATTCTTTATGATGCAGTATATAAACCTGTGTATACAACTAGTATTTGTTTCTAGAAAAATGTCTTTTTGTATTAAGTTGTTTGCCACCCTACTGCACACTTAATTGGCTTTGTCAGAAAGCCAGATTCAAAATAACCCTGTAGACCTGGTGGCTAGGATTGAAGTAATTTTCTGGGTCTAGAAAATACATTTTTGTTACTTCCAAAATTTCTCTACATAAATTAGGTTTTCATGGTGGCTTGCACCATATGGAAAAGCACTATGTAGTATACAATAAAATCAGTACCAAGACAACTTTTTATAAAAGTCTTTATAAAATAAAATAAATAAACTTAAAAGCAAGCCAAACAAAATTATCAGCAAACTGTTTCACAACTTTTGTAGTGTTGGACTGGGGACCTGTGAGATCTGGTTTCTAGTCTCCACATTAGGTGACTTTGGGCCAGTCATTCACTCTCATCCTAACTACCTCATAGGGTTCTTGTGAGCCTAAATGAAGCTATATAATTTGCCTTTTGCTCACAAGAGCAAAAATGGTAGAAAGTAACTGCAGGGTAACAGCAACAATAACATAAGAATATACATGCAGGCAGGATGGTAAAACTGGTGGGGGCGGAGGGGAAGAGGCTCAAGAGCCAGCAACATAGGTTTCCTTACTAATATACTGCTGTGGCAAGCTTTGTCAACCCCCATTTCCCAATAAAAGAGGAAGAACTCTGGTAAAGCTGGTGATTCTGTGGGGTAGAGGGATAAGAGCTATTTGCACATGTGTGCAAGAGAGTAGTAAAAATGCTAGGACTAAAATGTTAAACAGACCCACATGAAAACTTCCTGGGGCCCAGTTTTCTATCTGGACTTTTTTCCTGTTTGTATGTAAAAGACAGGAATTTGGTGCCATGCATCTTAAGACCCGAGACCTTGGTAGTGGAAGGTATATAAAAGTTTTATATATATAAATATATATAAATATATAAATAAGACAGACTGACTGACTTTAAAATTTGTATTTGTATGTTGCGTGTTCCCTGGACACATTCAGCCCTGAAAAGGGAAAGTTCTATTTAGAAGTATTCAGGCACTGGTTGAATCATGTGTTGGAGCCAGCAAGTGTCTACAGCTATTCTAAGACTCTTAGCTCTGCATAGATCAGCTGTTTATGGGTGAGTTATTTGTTGGAATTGTACATTTCCCTTAAAGGCTTTCCCTTTAAGATCTCTGATTTCCATGTGGCAACCCCATGGCACAGATTTTCATGGAAGTGCTAAAGGACATGGGTGGAGATTGCTTCAGTTCTGCTGTACTTACCAAGGTGGGTGTGGAGGCCACAGCAAATCTTTCCAAATAGCTTCCATGACCTTTTCCAGAATTCCCTTGTTAGAAGTACTTCAATATTGCTATAACTGGCATTTGGTTGGGGTCTGGTCTTGACAGAACAGGGAAAAACTGAATAACTTGAGATAGGAGTTGTTCTCAATATCTTTGAGCCCAAGGGTGGTAACCTCTTGACCACCAGCTTACCAAGAAGATGGAAACAGGCTGAGGAAGAGAAGGGGTATCAGTGGAGGGTGGGGGCAGGTCTTCAAGATTTGCCAAGCAGCAGTTCAGGATGGTAATATACTTGGTAGAGTGCTTGGCCAAGTTCCCTAACAATGGTAGTGAGGGTGAGAGCCCTGCACCTGCCTTATGTTCATTGCCTGAGAGCTTAAATAGGCACCTTTGCCTGCTTGCCTTTGCCATTGCCTTCAACACTGCGCCCACTGCAGAGTGATGTGGCTTCTGCCGCCCCCACCGCTTGTCACCTGTGCCCCCCCCCCCCCGGTCTTTGAGGTCAAAGCACCAGCACTGGGGAGGAAAGGGGTGTGGCCATATCACTTGCTGCTGCTACAGAGCAGAGGTGAAGACCAGGTGGGGCTTGTGCTGGCTGCACCTTTATAGCCAGCCAGTGCACAGGGCAGCACCAGTTCAATGTTGCACTGGGTGTCATGTTTCTCTATTGGAATTATTGTGGGTTTATTATTATTTCATTGTTATTTTATATTCTTGCATTATTTATTTTGCTATTGTTTGCTATTCTTTGATATTGTATTTTCATTTTGATTCATTATATTATATTTTATTTAGTTTGCATTTTAGTATACTGTTTTATTGTGTATTTAGGGATTGAATTGTTTACTGACCAGAGAGTCCAAAGTGCTATGAGGTGGAATAGAAATGTAAATAGAAATGAAACGAAATGGAAACAGGATCAGGGACCCCTGACATCACCCAGACCTCTATGGCAATGTGACCTTCGGCTAGACTAGCCTGTTTTTGAGGCTTTGTAGCTCCAAAACTTGCCCATAATAGAACCCAAGTGTGGAGGGCATGCTGTTTGTCTCAGAAGCTGGGGCTTATGGTCAGTATTTTTTCAGTGAGGAACCTGTAATCATTGCTACATCAGCTAACCAACTTCCTACCTCCTTTTCTTAGTATTTTCATTTTGAAGAGATTATTGGGGAAAGATGAGGGGATTTATTGAGGGGCTAATCCCATTTTTGAAATACATTTATTTTGCAGTTGATAGTGCTATGTGTGGTTTGTGCCATTTATGTTGGGGAAGTTCCAAAAGTAAATGTGAACGGACCCTATATATGGCTCTTGATACCAAGACAGCATTACATTTAATGGTATGAAGACTGTGTGGAACTATAGGAGATGAGATTTTCTCTTGATTCAGCCAAATCCCTGGCTATCCTATGTGTGTATGAATGTATTTAAACTATCATACTTTATCTTTGTGCTGTTTGTATCCTATTTGGCTGATGTGTATGGTACCCTTCCACCACCATCACCCTCTACAAATGTGGGATTACAACTTGCATTATCCCCGCCCAGCACAGCCAGTGTACATAATACAGTTGAGTGTCTAATTGTCAGAGTGCATTTAATATTCTTCTTACCCTAGAATAAATCATACTGCTTTAAATTGTAATAAACTGCAGCTCAATTTACTCCAGCTTCCCAGGATTGTTGTACACTTTCTTTGCTTCTCTAATACTGTACTGCCATGCTGATCTTTCAGTTCTTGTATGCAGAATGTGTAGAGGTATATTCCAAGCTGAGTCCAAAATGCTTCTAGACAAGGATTTTTATGGTTACATTGCCCTGCGTCATTCATGAAATGTTATGTAATCATAGCATCATTTCCAGTTATCATAGTTTTCAATTCATAACCATCCTGTGTTTTCCCATGAGTTTTTCTATTTGTTATATCAGGTTAAGTTGTTGAGAAAGAAAAGATAGAATGCCTACACAATGCCTTCTGATTCTTAGGGCTAGGCCCCCTCTGTCTAGAAGCACCCAAAGTCAAGTCTCTTTTCAGCAGTTAAAATTATGCATTTATGTTGTCCTTTGTTTTTCTGGTAGAAACTGTTTTATTTTCCATTACCAAAAACAAAAAAACAGGGAAAAAAACCCTCTTGTCATGCATGATTGAAACCCACATGGCCATGATAACAACACCCACTTTAATTATTGATATTCAGCGAATTGGTTTCTTTGATGGAGGAGGATTATGTGATATTTTAGATTTGAATGGGCCAGTCTGTGCTTGCTTTGGCATTTTAACTTCTTCAAACTGCAAGGTGATTCTACTGTCTTTGAGGTTTTCCTTCCTGTTGTCCAGTGGTTTCAGATTTATTAATTCAGTAAACCTACAGCTCAGAATGACAAGATGCTGAATTAAACATTGTGACTGTCTTTGTCTTGGGCCAAGGCCAGACATGCTTCCTACTGTCTTGTTTTTAGAAAACCATTTTGAGTCATTTGTATATAAAAATCACATGCTTGCTACTCCTGCACACCACTTGGGTTGCTGGAAATAAAACTGTCAAGACTGTAATTGAAAAGAGGGTTAATCATGTACATCTCTTGCTCTCCAAAGTGAGAAACCATTTCTGCCAAATTAGTTGACAGATGCCTCATCAACTATTTGCTTCCAATGAGCTTGGCATTCTTGACTTCCAGTCAGGTTCTTGACCAGGTGTTAATCAGAATGGAAGAACAGAAGCTGTTGCAACTGACCTGCACCTGCCAATGGAACAAAACAAGGAGAATGTTGTGGCACTCCTACCTGGGAGGATCTCTGCATACAGTTGCCAGTGAAGTGATGAAAAAGAGTGTGGAGTCATTTGTCCTTGCAGTGGTACTGAACCGTGTTACAGAAAAAATACATAGTTGAAAAGGGAGAGAGCTTAAACAACAACACTTTGAGCAGAGAATCAGAAATCCAAACTATGGCAAACCCTTATTTGGTGTGGAACTGAACATTGCAAGCATTACATCAACAAATACATGGTTCCAGTATTATCCCTTATAATGTTGATGGATTTGGGGTATTGGCAGAGAAAAAGAGATTCCTTAAATTCTCAGCTGCCAGTCTTTAAAAGTGCCTCATCGTTCTCTCATATCCCTTTTAAAAGCACTGATGGAGCCACCCATGGGTGCTCCTGTACAGCTACTGACAGTGTTCCTGGTATCAAGACTGAGTACTATCTTGGCTTCCATATTGGAGGGTGAAATTAGAGACACCCCCCCCCATCTCATCCCCTGCCTTCCACCGCAGTTTCAAGGACACTCATGGTACCATCCCCAGTTCATCCAGATCCATCTGATACTGAGAGCTGCAGAGAATGCTCACACTCCCTGTCCCAGATTGGGATGGGCAGTCTCACCAGTACCACAAGACACTGGGGCTTCTTTGACACACTGGGTCTGTACCATCAGGGACCCACATATGATCCCTGGTACAGGCTGGTTTTCTACCCGAATATTTTCAGGGAGTGTGAATGTGTTGTTGAGCCTTCCACACTTCACCCACCCATGCTGTCCTGGCCAGAGGTTCCTCCTTGAGAGTCCCATTGCCTGTTGGAATTGCCTACCCCTCCTGCCCCAGTCCACCAATCAAATTCTCCCACACTACCCCTCCTGCCCCAGTCCACCAATCAAATTCTCCCACACTACCTCTCTCTCCTTTTCCCTCATGAATGTCAAGGACTACAGGTCTGATAAGGACTCTTCACCATCTGTCCACCCTAGGTCATCTTCCCCAGATGCTGCTCTGAATACTGCAGATCCTGATTCACCATCAACGGACCTGGGCACATTTGCCAAACAAATCCAACTGATGGCCTCGGCCCTCTGAATCTGGACACAGGTGCAACTGGAAAGGATATTGGACCTGATTTTTGACACCATCTGAACTAAGGAATTGATGCTATCCCTTACCTCTCTACTCTTCTTCAGACTGCTTAGCAGTCCTGGAAGGCTCTGTTAATGATGGCTCTGACATTGAAATGGTTGAAGGGAATGCATTGCATGTAGGAGAAGGATGTAGCCTCCCTTTTTCAACATCTGAACTCTGTGGTTGTTGAATTGGTTCAAGGAAGGTTGTGTCACCAGCACTCCACACTGTCTGATGTTGAGGGATGTCACCTGAATACTTTTGGGAGGCAGAGCTATGCCTCAACAGCCCTAGAACTAAAGGGAGCCAACCCGCAGTCTACTGTGGCAAGGTACCAGCTCTTCCTCTGGGAGAAGCGAGGCTTTGTGTGTGACTATATACTGGAAGAGAATGGGACTTCACCAGGTTCTTCCAGAATGAAGCACTATGCCTCTCAAGGATCTAGATTAATGCATCTAGACATCAGGAGGACTGTGAGGCCAAAGCAATGATTGACACAGTGGCAGTCAGTAGGCATGTATGCTGTGCTCATCAGGACTAATGCAGGTGGCCCATTCCCATATTGTGAAGCTGCCCTTCAATGGGGATGGGCTCTTCGATGCATATGAGCATAGGGACAGCATCCACAAGGCAAGGATGACAGCGCAGAGAATAAGGTTCTTTCAGTACCCCACTGCCGGGCCACATAAATGGCTTGGGCAGGAAAGCTCCTTCTTTCCCCATGCCTTCTGGTACCTCCCAGGGCACAGGCAAGCAGATAGGGACAGGGGAAGGAGACACTGACTGCTTTTAGAGGCTGACTCATTTCCTTCCTCCATACCTGCTCCCCTGTTTTTAATTTTTGGGATCCTCTCTCTCCCTACTTGTCTGTGTGGCAGGTAATCATATCAGAGATCATCTGGGGAAGCTGCAGGATTGAATTTTATGCCCTCCCGCCCATTGTTACTGTGCGGGCAACACCAACATCTCCAGTGCTAATGGAGGAGATTTACTTGTTCCTATCTAAATAAGCAATTGAGTGAATTCCATCCACTTCTGTACACTGCGGATGCTTTTCACAATATTTCATTTTACTGAAAAGGAACGAGGGCTTTGTTCAATCCTGGACCTGAGCAATCTCAACTTTTTAAATCTCTCCTAAAAAGTTCTGGATGGTAATCCTGCAAGAGATTCTCATGCTTTGGTGTAGGGAGTGGCTTGCATCCAATGAGGTTTACTTACTTCCACATCTCTATTGAACCCTGCCATAGACTGTTCCTTTGTTTCTGGATCATAACTTTGCAAGGAATTCTTACCCTCCTCCGATGTGGACAGTGGTTTGCATCCAGTGATATGATAGTTTACTTATGCCCACATTTCTGTTGCACTCTGCCATAGACATTTCTTTTTTTCCACGTTGCGGAGGAGATGTTCCAATTTTCTTTTGCCTTTTGGACTCTCCTGTCTCCAGGGTTTTTACAAAGAGGTATGCATCCACCTTCATCAGCATGGGGTCCAAATATACCTGTACCTTGATGAGTGGTTGTTGCTAACTCCAACCAGGGTGGAACTGTTTGCAGTGATTCATTGGGGCATGCATAGACTCCACCAAAGCAGCAGCATATTTCCCAGATTCCAGGGTGGCAGCATTAATTGAGACAGCCTCCCAGATTGCATGGCTGTACATTGTCTTGGCTTCAGTGGCTGTTCATGCAAAGTCATGGCAGTGAATATGTCGGTACTTTCCCTGGCCAGGTTCCGGATACAATTGCTCCAGCTGTAGTTCATTAATTCTTTCAACCCAGTGGTTGACCACTGATGGAAGTGCTTCTGGATGTTCAGAGTGGTCTGTTTCAGCCTCTTCCAGTGGACACATTGTATCAACCTATTTAAGGCAATGCTGCTGCTCAGTCTTCAGCCATCGTTTACAGTAATGACAGATGCCTCCCTGTTTGGATGGGGAGCCCACTGTGGCTCTCTTTGAACACCCAGAATATGGGGGAAGCCAGAAGCCTGTAGGCATATAAACTATCTAGAGCTGCTTTGAGTACAGATCACTTTTTGGCACCCCCCTCACTCCTAGTTTAAATAGGCAGAGCTCTCACCCTTCTTCAGTTCACTTTCGACCACTGTCTTTCATTGTGCCATGGGCTTTTCCTAGCTTCAATTTTACCTCATTTTTTTGCTCTCACTATCTTACAACTTCATCAATTTTTTGACCTTCCTATACCTTTTATACCACTTAGACTTCTCTCCTAATAACTCGCATTTATTCCCACCTCTCAAAGATTTTTTAAAAAAGAGCATCTGTCATCACTCTTACACTATTCCTCTACCACTTTACCTCAACTTTGTTCTCTTTCTTTGCTCAATGGCTCAGAGACTGGCTTTCTGAAAGTGTACAAACTGTGACATCAAAATGCCATCCAGTAATGGTCACTTGTTTTGCCTTTTGTGCCTTGGTGAAGACACCGTGTGGATAAGTGTGCTCACTGCCAGGGCTTCATGAAGCAGGCCAGGAAGAACAGATAAGGCTGCTTAAAAATGGAGCTTTGGGACAGGGCTCTCTAAGCTATGCACAATTTTACTGGAGAAGACTACAAGCAAACAATCAGCCTCTGTGGAAACTGGGCCAAAATACACCCCTTCTGCCATGAAAACCACCTCACAGGCCACATCATCAGCTGCTGAATAGCCAGCTTCCTCTAGCTGTCCAAGAAAGCACAAGGGGAAGAACATCTGCAGGGTAAAGACCCAGAAGAGGCCAAAAGATTGGGTAAATATCAACCGAGAAAAAGCACGAACATCACTCACTAGCCACCTCGGAACGGAGAGCCTCGCCTGTCCTGTCCTGCCAGCAGACCTGTCTACCATACCGTCACCACTCTCAGCTCCAATTTGAGCCTCTCCAACTCCATCCATCCTGAGAACAGCAGCCCAATTGGAGACACAACATATCAACACCATTCTGTCTACTTCATTTTCTGAAGGGGAGATACAGAATTCCCTGACTCAATCACCAGTTCCTCAAACATCACCAGACTGATTGGAGCTGATGCCATGAAGGGAACCGCAGCTTCTACTCCTTCCAATGCCGTGACCATGCGAATTGGTCTCTCCCAACTCTTCACTGGTTTCGACCCACTGTTCTGTATGCAGTCTCGAACTGAACACATATCCATATAGGAGGAATCCATATTGAGAGCCACCTCCATATGGACACTACAGACTTGCTGTGCATGGAATTACACAATGCCATCATACCAATACTCATGGCCTCCCAAGCAATCTACACCTTCACACCCTCAATGTCTGCCATGACAATACCAGCAGACTGACCAAACTCCATTCACTTTGGAACAGCTTTCCCTGACACAAATACAGATGGCCAAACAGGGATCACCAGCACCATCTTCCACTTCCTTATCTCATATGGACTACGCCACTAGGAAGTCATACCAAGCAAAGTGGAATACTTTTTCAACATATGTAGGTACTCAGAACTTTGATCCCAAAATCTGCATGGTGCAGCAAATCCTTCTCAACCTTGTCTCCCTTTATCAGCGTGGCTGGAAGGAATCATTCATTAGAGTGCACATAGCAGCCATTTCTGCATTCCACAATGGGAACCAGGGCTCATTGTTTTTTTTCACACCTGCTAAATAAATGGTTCCTGAAGGGTTTAAAAACTGCCTTGCCACCATACTACACACTCTGGCAAGAAAACCATGAGCCCCTGGTGATGGCCAACCTCCATTTACTGTCATGGAAAGTGGCATTCTTGGTGGCCATTACATCCACTCAATGATCCAGCAAACTTCATGCTCTACAAATAGATCCTCTATACCTTGTCTTTCATCATGCAGACTTGTACTTTGTCCAGACCCCTCTTTTTTATGCAAAGTTGTATCTCATTTTCATTTGAATCAGGATGTTATTTTACTGGCTTTTTTCTCCATCCCCATCCAGCTTGGTGGAGTCTACTCTTCATACCCTGGACGTGCATAGAGCACTGGTGTTCTACCGTTCCAGAACTGAGTTCTTCTGTCAATCCCCCAAACTTTTTGTTTCCTATGCAGGCAAGACAAAGGGTCAGCCCCTTTCGCCTCAGAGACTATTGGCTGGCTTATGAGCTAGCGGGACTGCAATTCCTGGTGCCAACTAAAGAACACTCAACCCAACTGATGGCAACTTCAACAGCACTGCATACAGGTATCCTGTTACTGAATCTGTGCAAAGTAGCAACATGGTTGAGGTCTTCCACTTATGTCAAACATTACCACCTCGATGTTTGGGCCAGAGTGGACTGTGCTTTTGGGAGAGCAGTTCTTTCAGTGAGTCTCAAATGAAAACACCACTCACCAATCATGTATGGATAAGCTTGCTAGTTGCCCATATGTGTGATGAACAGAGACCGCAAACAAGAAGGACTAGTTGCTTATCTGTAACTGTCATTCTGTGCAGTCACCTACCCCACTGGGAGTCATGAACAACTTAGCTGTGTTTTGTCCATGTCTTCTGCCCTTATTATTTCCTTATTTAATGGGGGGTCTGGTACTACTCCACTGATGCAGAATTAGTACTGCTGTCCTCCTGGCACCACTTTATGGTACTACTCTGAAATGGTTCCATGATGCTGTGGGTATTCTGGTCTTTCTCCCTTAGTCCTGAGACCTCCAGATGGTCTCATTGTAATTGAGGGAAAATGGCCCCCTTTTTATATAGATGTGAGGGGAGAGGCACCCACCAAAACTGTTAAATTAGCTATTAAATTTTCCCAGCAACAGGTTCCACATAGGCACAAAGGCCCTGTGCGTAAATGCACAGATGTCCACTCAAAGAATGACAACTATAAGTAAACAACTGGCCTTTCCACACTTGTCCCCTGGCCATATATATGTCTTTGGTTCCGTCCTTACTGTAATGAGTAGGATTCCAGTATACTGTAGCAATGGAAAGAAAGACCTCTGTGTTTGGGAAAAACAGAGGGGAGAAGATGCAGCTACTTTTTCTCCCATTTCGGTATCAGACTTTAAAGGAGAATCTTCCAGTTACAAACTGGTGACCCAGAGTTAAATGACTTGCATTAAGGGGCTAGAATTGAAACTACTTGAGTAGCATAGATTGGAACTTTTGACCCATATAATCTAAATATGGTGCATTTTGTACAGAGGTAAACTCTGAATTCTGTCCATCAGAACTAAAATTGGAAGAAGCTAGGGAAACACCTGCTTGGTTTCACAAGCAAGAATATTTGTGTGTTCAGGTATACAGGTTCTGGCAGTGGAATTGAGAAATCTGATTTAGAGGAATGGCCTTTGGGTATTTGGAGGTATACAAAGGATACAGCTTATTAAAAACCATTTTACAAGCAAATGAGAGAATTTGTTCTACTTGACTAATTGGGAGATGAATGTGCTAACTGTTCTGAAGGAGTTATTAGTCTTTATGTAGGTAAGGTTTCTAGTAGTTTCAGGCAGACTTAAGGAGTCAGTCCTGTCTGCTCCCCCTCCCCCATGCTAGTTGAACTTTCTTCTTGCATTGTGATCTGCAGCTATCTGTTAACAAGCACAATTCTGCTCTTAAAAGACAACTGAGTCTGTTAGTTAGGAAGTGAGGATAACAATTGTCTGAGCAGGCAGCATTCACATTATGGGCTGAGGCTTTCAAGGAAGCTTGATCCTCTGCTTCAGTGGGATCAAATTGTATATGGGCACTAGATTGTGCAGGAGAAATGTGGCAGAGAAATGCTAAACTGTCCAGACTATATGGCAATAATTCTGCCAAAGGTCAAACTCGAGATTATCTGGGAGATACATGCTCTTTTCCAACTTCTTTTTTTAGGGAACATGAAAACATTACCTAGGACATAATTCTGAGGGACCACTCTGGCCCCACACACTGTATTTTGGCCTCACATCAGACTGACTGCTGACTGTTTTCTTTCTCAGATGGCACAAAGAAGTGAAGGGCACTAGGGGCTCACAAAGGGTAAATGAAGGTTGCATGTGCTAAGGCAGGGCTGGGCTGACTTCAGGCATCCCAGATCTTTTTTTTTTACGAGAACCCTGAGATCCACCAACCAGAGACAGGTGGGTGCGAACAAGGTATCCTGGGAACATTCTAAGCTTAGGATTTTGTTTCTTAAAGCCAGAATGCAACTGAGTTCACAAAAGCCCTTCTTAACCCAATCTTACTTCATTTTAGCTGCTAAATCTAGATAGAAAAGATAATTTGATATTGCTATTAACAGTTGCAGTCAGAAATCCTTACTGATCTAGTGCAAATTATCAGTAGATCCTGTTCTGTTTTATGCCTATCCATGCACTAAAGCATGGTATTCACTACAAAGTTGGACTTGGGCTCATGCCTCTTTTCCTCTGGCATGGCTTTGAGAAGATCCTGCTTCTGTTTTAGATTAACCACAGTTTAGACTGCTGTCTACAGCTTATTGTGATTCATTCAGACAAACTGGCTTCATAAGACATAGTTTAAAGTGCTTGGTTTCAACAGCCCATGATTAAAGTTACTATGTTTTTGTCAGTCAAAAGTCACAAATAGCTGCAATTATGGCTGCACCACAGGTGTCAAGGGTTCATGAAGTGAAGTACTAGTTCCCCTTTATTCAGCACTAGTTAGACATTATCTGAAATAGTGTCCAGTTCTGGGCACCACAGTTTAAGAACAATGCAGAAAAGCTGGAAAGCGTTTAGAGGAGAGCAACAATAATGATCCAGGGACTGGAAACAAAAAGCCCTATGAGGAAAGATTGAATGAACTAGACCAGTTTAGTCTTGAGAAGACTGAAGGGGAGATAGGATAATACTCTACAAGTACTTGAAAGGTTGTCACAAAGAGGAAGGTGAGGATCTCTTCTCGATCATCCCAAAGTGCAGGACACTGAATAACAGGCTTAATTTACAGAAAGCCATATTCCTGCTATATAGCAGGAAGAACCACCTGACAGTTACAGCAGTGCAACAATGAAACCAAGGACTTAGGGAAGTTGTGGGCTCTCACACACCAGAGGCATTCAGTATTGTGCTGGGCAGCCCTCTGTTAACTTGGAGTCCTGCACTGAGCAGGGGGTTGGACCTGAGGGCCTTCTGGCCTCTTTCAACTACTTTTATTCTATGATCTTGAGGTTTGTTCTTGTAGAGCTAAACTCAAGTTGATGGTCCACACAGAGTCTTTAAAAATCTATTCTTAGCATGAATGACTGGAACACAGATGGGGGCACATTACCTCCTATGCCTGTAGTTTCTCAACCTTAAATTCTCTTCTCCCACCATGCCCTCCGGGATTGGGAATAATAGACAAGGAAAGGGTCAAATTCTTCTGAGCTCCATTGGAAACAGCAGTCTGTATTTTCATCTCAACGGGTGTCCTGTTTACTTTGATAGGTATTTCCATATTACATGTTCACAAAATTAACACTAAAGGAACAGCACTTCCTATTGGTGTCATATCATAGGATGCAGAGAATGATGGATGAAGAAAGAACACCAAAACAATGAATTACCGGTAGTTTAGAGCAAGCGATCAGATTTAATTCAGTTATTTTACTGTGGAGGGTTGGTTTTTTTGTTCGTTTTTTGTTTTTGGTACATTCAAATGTGTCATGAAAACAGACTCTTCCTCAGTCCACACTTGCAGGCTAAATTAAAAAGTTGTTCTATTCTCATCCTTGGTACTTAGTAGACATTTTGTTTGTAAACACACCATTCGCAATACTGACCTCCTGGACTGCTTTAATTAGAAGTAAACTTATATCTTCACTGAGTTACATGTTGGTTTTACTTAATTTAAGAGTTGTCTTATCTCAGGTGACATGCATAATAAAAGCAAAAAGTGCAATCACTGATAAAAACCAGTAATAAAAGACACTAAAATGATTATTTTAAAAGCACCAACAAAAATCAGCATTTAAAAGAACAGTAATTCAACAGATTAAAAACAAAGAACATGATTTTAAAATGCAGCAGTACACACATTAAAAATAAAACAAACAGCATTTTAAAATGCCTGTGAGAATAAAAATGTCTTTGCCTGTTACTTCAGTGGTGGTACTTTTTTTGCTGAGAAGGGATGCCTTGACTATTTCTGAGATACATTCCTCTTTCAGAATTCTAAGACACCGGGACTCTGGGTTAAAAGCTCAAATAGAACGGTCCCAACAGCACAAAATTCTCATAAATTAATCCTTTCTTTCTTGCCTTCTGTGTTACTAATTGAGAGTTCAGCATCACAGCAGAAAAGGATCCCAGGCAGGTCAAAATTCACAAGACCTTCCAGAGAAGTTTAACTCATTCCGCAGTTTATATCTACTTCCCTCTCTTCCATTCCCACACAACTGTTGCTATTTGCTTTGAAGGAGTGGGGGGATTAAAATAGGAGAAAGGCTAAAACATTTTCCCCAGTGCCGTTTTGTTGTGGGTCTGCTAGCTGATTTAAATAAAGTGAACGGGAGGGAGACTAATCCCAGATCTCTGTGTAGCTACCTTGGGCATGAGTTCCTGAATATTGTTGCTTTAAAGAATGACAAGCCTGTCTTTTCAAGACCTGAGTGCCATCTTGTGCTACACATGTGAATTGCAGCCCTTAAAAACAAAATAAAAAACGTTTCTCTTAACTGAATTGGATCGCAAGGTGGGCTGTAATTTGTATTATTTTCGCTTTGGTTAAACAATGAATAACAGTTCCTTGGGATATATGTTAGTGGGTGCATGCATATTTATGTCTCTCCTGTCTTTTTAATTAAAAATATGATATGATATGTAAATATTCAATGGAATGTAGTACACCTGGATTCTAACTCCTAGAGGATATAAACATGGAGCGTTGAAGTCCAGAAAAGTATATTTGTAAGCTATTCCCTCCCATTTTCTTCAGAATAATCAAAAGGCTGTGAATTATAATTTTGGAGGAAATCAAAATCAAATAGTTTGATCATTGTACAGCTCCCCATATAACCCGGAGCTACCGTACTTTGTGTAAAAAATGGGAATAATGAAATAGAGAGTATTTTTCAGCCTGTTGTGGATTATGCTTTCAAAACAATGAGTTATATGTATTCTTGTTGAAGTATACTTCTATGTAAATAGTTGGAAGAATGCGCTGCTTTCATACTGCACAATATTGCAAAAGAACAGGCAGTGGGCTGTATGCTTCTTTTCAGGTTTTCTTTGGCATTATATTTGCATTTAAAGATG